ATATCCCAACTTTAAGTCGATCTTTGAGAATATTGATGCTCCCTTCAATTGATCCATCAAATCATCAATCCTAGGCAATGGATACTTATTCTTTATAGTAGATTTGTTAAGTTATATATAATCTACACAAAGCCTAGAAGATCTGTCTTTCTTTTTCACAAAAAAAAAATTGGAGCTCCCCATGGTGATACATTTGGTCTGATAAACTCCTTCCCCAACATCTCATCCAGTTGCTTCTTTAACTCTGCCAATTCTGATGGTCACATCCGGTAAGGAGATATAGAAATTGGCCCAGTACCTGGAACCAAATCTATAGCAAACTCTACTTTCCTAACTGGTGGTAAACCTGGAATATCTTATAGAAAGACTTCTGGGAATTCACACACCACAGGAAAGTTTTCAACACTTAGGGTTTCTTCTACTGGCGTAGAAAACATCATCATGAATTTTTGAGTGAGATCTTCCACCTTATTGACTTCTTCATTATCTCCTCTGAAAGCTAAAGTTTTCTTCTTGCAATCTAAGGTTACATTGTTGGCTGATAACCAATCCATTCCTAAGATTACGTCTAGATCATATAGTGGGAAAACTACAAGGTTTACTAAAAACTTTCTATTTTTGATGATTATGTGACAATCTACACAAACCGAACATGTAACCATCTTTTCTCCCGATGGGGTAGAAATGGTTAGTTTTTTATTCAAATAAACTACTTCTAACTTTAAGAATTTGGCACAAGTTGTAGACATAAAAGAATGTGTAGCTCCTCCTTCAGGAGTAGCTTCACCAGAACCTCTATTAGCATTACCAACATTCCTAGTGCTTCTACTGGTGCCTCTACCAACACCCCTACCATCACTTCTACCACATCGAATGTTTTGAACCATAACTTCCTGAAAATATAAGTTATTAGGTTCAATCATTCACAAGACATAAAGAACATATCAAATATGTATATTTATATCCCCGTGAATGATTTATCGATTCCCTCACAAGCAAGGTATTCGATTAAGTTGTTGTTTCCCAGTTCTTGTTTAAAATGTTGAAATGATACTTAACGTTAGACAAGATTATATCTAGAATACAGAAGAATATAATAAATATTTACTACATAAAATATCATCTTATTTAATAGCGATAATTACAAAGAACATAATAATGTTTTACCAACGATCAACAAACGAAGCTAAAATTAGTAATGGTAGAACGATAACAATCATTATTGCTACGTATTCTTTTCCTATTTCTTTGTGATTGATAATACCCATAAGGAACAAAGCAATGACAAGTAGAGTGATGAATATAAGAGAGCGTTTATCTATTTTGAAAAAGTGAATGAATATTTTGAGATTGATGTGAAAATCATGAATGAGGATGAAGTATTTATAGAGAGAATTTTATGAAGTGTCTGTTATGTTACCATTGGGTGGGGTAGGGAAATAATGTTCATTTTACTGTTCATGACTGTTGAGAGAGGGAAAAAATATGTTAAGCGTGTTAAAGACACTTCCTCAGTCAGTCCATAAGAGCTCGCAAGACGAAGACTTAACACAGAGAAGAAAAGTTATCATCCAGTTTGGAATCCAACTTGACATAATCAGTATAACTCTAGACATTTACGGTCCGAACTGAATCGATAAGCTTTGATACCATAAAATGAGACAACTTATGTCCCATTATTTGAATTTTAATTAAATCCAATAAATCTTTATAATATATATATATATATATATATATATATATATATATATATATATATATATATATATATATATATATATATATATATATATATATATATATATATATATATATATATATATATATATACTTCCAAGTTTACATAGAGTTTGACAGAGGTAAAACTAGTGTTTCTGTCACGTAGATAAAACATAAAAGAAACCAAAAGAAAGCATAACATGGACTTCCCAAATCCAACAACAATGACATTTATTCTGATTGTATATAATATCACATAATATTAGTGATGTGATAAGTGTTTGACAAAACGCTAACAACTCTTAATTTTGACATTGTCGTAATCCATCTCCACATCACTCCCTAACCTTTCCTCCCTGACATTTCTTTTCTCTTTAAACATGTCTATTACATTCTTTTAAAAAAATAAAGTCAATTATTATTATGTTTAGACTTCGTTATAGTTTGTTAAAATAATTATATATATATCAAACTTAAGAGTGTGTTTGTTTCATGGATTTAAATTTTATTTTTAAGAATTTGTAAGATTGAAAATCATGTTCTCGTATTTGTTTTAAATTTTATCAAATTTTACTCGAATATTTTTTATTTTTGAAATATAATTATCTTATAATTTTTATAAAAATAGATATTTTTGACAATTAATAATGATGTTATTTTAGTTAAATTTTAAGAAATTGATGATTTATGATTTTTATTATAAATGTATTGTATTAATTAATATATATTTTTAATATAATTTAGTTTAATTTTTTTCTTCATATTTAACCACTTCATTATATAATGTCTAAATCCGTTTTTAGATGTAACCATCCATAATCTCTCATTTTAAATTATTTTAATTCTTATAAATTATTTTTTAAAAATTAAATTAAATATATTTTACAAATATTTCAAAAAACTTCATATACTTACCAAATAGATAGACATGAATTTTATTCCTGTTCTAGAGAAGAATATTTTTCAAGATTATAAATATACTAGTAATTCTTTAAGCAAACACATCCCAAGATTAGGGGTAGTAAAGCGGGCGACTCGTCTCGTTTAAGTCCATTTAAAAGTGTAGTGGGACGGAACGAATCAACGTAGAGGTTCGAACTTAAAAGTCAAGTTCGTCCCGATTACTAACGAATTGGTGGGTTGGCGGACCGACGCGTCAATATTTTATTTTTTTAATTTTATAATTTGATTTAATACATAATTTAAAAAAATTTCAATTTATTATGAAAGTGGTCGATAAAGAAAATTTTTAATAACGTATAATAAAAATTCAAGATGTCTTAAGTCCAAACAATTTAATAAATAAAGATCAATTACAACAAAAAAATAAAATAAACTCAATCACAATAAAAAATATCAAAATAAATAAACAATAAATATCATTTCAATCCTATTTAAAAACTAACTACTAAAAGAAATCAATTTAGAATTTACACAAAACCAACAATGATAACAATAACATTGAATAAAATATCACAGTGCATAAAATAGTAATGCATAAAATATCAACACCAAACTTTCTAACTGTTTACATTATATAGACTTTTATATTGATTGATTCTTTAATAGTTTAATAGACAAATCCTTCATTTTCATAAAATCAACATTTGTTTCTAAAGAAAACTTCTTAGCTAATATATTGAAACTTAATAATTATGCATGTCATATATTTGTTCTTTTATTTCAATCATTTTCAATCAACGCATGTATTAGAAAGTTATAGAAAAAACGTTACAATTATAATTTAATTTATCTCTATAATAATTTATAATACAATCCTAAGAGATAACGGTTGTTTTTATAATTAAAGTTGTTTTAAAAAGAGTAAAAGTTTTAACAAAAAATCTGCGGAGAAAACCCACCCCGCCTCGTTTTTTTAGACGAGTTAGACGGAAGAGGCAAATTTAAAATACTAAACTGAAAACCTTAGTCCAACCCGTTAAAAATTACAAGTCAAACAAATCAATCCGACAACCCACTTTACCACTCGTACCCAAGACTTATTCATTATTTTGTAAAATACGATATTCATATGAGATTAAAAATAGTATCCTATTAATGTAAACTAATTTTATATCATCACGACATATCTAATAAATTTCTAACATTATATTATATAATATATAGTCAATATTTTTACTTCCTCTCTGACTAGTTCCCGGTTTAAAAATATTTTACACAATTTCAATACATACTCGTTTTTCTCTATTTATTGAGAATTCAATAAAAAGGAAATTAAGAGTGATATTCTGAAACAGCTATAAATTGATTAGCGAAGATTTGAAAGTTATTGCTGAATCAATTTATAGCTTTCAATCTATACTCTTTTTCATCGCTGAACCAAACAAAGTGAAATATCTCTCTCTCTCTCTCACACACCAGATTCGGTTCAGTGTCGCACACAAACTCACACACCGAGTCCTCCCTCCCAATTCAAATCGCCCATCTCAGAGCATACCCCCGCCCTCCCTGCTGCCCGTTTTCTCTCATCATCTCCCGTTCTCAGCGTTTGTAAGTCGCTCCACTTCTTTATGTCGTTTTATCTTTGATTTCTGAATTATTACGATGTTCTTTCGTTTAGGTTAATTGTGAAATTTGTTATGAAATGATGATTACACGTAGTGCACCATTTACAAGTGTAGCTGATAGTACTGCTCCATTTGGAAATGATGCTGGTTGATTATGTTATATAGCCTCAACATGCACTTATAAGTGAGGACAATCTTCATTCTATAAATTGGTTTTGTAGGATTGTGTTAGACCCAACCACATATAGATTCATAATGGGTTTTAAGAAGACTATGAGTGCTATGCTTTTGGGAAATCAAAATTAGATGCATACAATTATCTCTTCTTGTTTTTTTTACAAACTTAAATTGACGAGACTATAGCCAAATTTTCAAAGACCTATACATCATTTGATGGTGGTTTGCACATATCTTTTCGGATCCTTAAAGATATAACTTAATTCCCAGTTTAGACCGGCCCAAAAGGGGCTGAATATTCAATTTTTCCAGCTTTAGGTTTGATAAGGGGCTCAGTACTCTAAGTCCCTGACTAGGCAATCGATACATAAGCTTATGGTCTAGTGAGGTGTGATTTTGGTATTGTTATGACTTTTTGTTGCTGAAAATCATATTGACCGGTATTGGAGTTTCCTGTGGGCCTCAGGGCCCAAAATTAGGAATAAAACTACTGCTGTTTTTTCCCCTTTTCTTTCTTACTTTGGTAATCTTAAAAACCAAATTGACTTCTCAGATTTTGGCCTTCTTCTAGGAAAAATGGGTCTTCTCAGCATCATTCGGAAAATCAAAAAGAAAGAAAAGGAAATGCGAATTCTTATGGTGTAAGTTTATCTTCCAATTCCTTTTCCGTCGCTCTAGATTTTACTGTATTAATTAATAGTTGAGATTTATATGCAGTGGGTTGGACAATTCTGGAAAAACAACAATTGTTTTGAAGATTAATGGGGAGGACACTAGTGTCATCAGTCCTACACTTGGCTTCAACATCAAAACCATCGCCTACCAGAAGTAAAACCTTGCTTTATACTGTTAGCATTTGTTTTGATGAGTTTCTTACATTGATTTACTATATTCTAGCATGCTGGGGGATTTATCCAAATTGGCAATGGCAGGTACACTCTAAATATATGGGATGTTGGAGGCCAAAAAACAATTCGATCTTACTGGAGAAACTACTTTGAGCAAACAGATGGTTTAGTTTGGGTAGTTGACAGTTCAGATCTTAGAAGGTTGGATGATTGCAAAATGGAGCTAGATAACCTTCTAAAGGAAGAGGTTTGTTCAATACAAATAGTTATTACTTGTCATCGTAACAAATTTCTTACATGCAGTACTTAGCTGAAGATATTCAGTCATTTTAGGCACACCGATTCATATCTCTTTTATTTGATCTATTGATTGGGAAAGACTTGTGCGTCCTCTTTGCTAATGCATCCAAGCAGAGTAGTTGCCCAAGGTGTCATAATAACTCGGAAGTACTTGTTATCTTGATTCTCTAGCACTTGAAGAAAATGTTTTATTTCCCCAAAACCAGCTATAAGTATTTCTCATTGTTAATCATTTGGGATGCTCATATGACATCCCAAATGATTATGCCGCTCTTCTTTGGATGTCTGTGAGGAACTAGTATTTTTCAAATGTCAATAATTCTGTTTTATGTATGACAGAGACTATCTGGAGCATCCTTACTAATTCTAGCAAATAAACAAGATATTAAAGGCGCCCTTGCACCCGAAGAAATAGCTAAGGTAAGCTTAATTTTGTTTCTCTTACCTAAGTAACATTGAAGAGATTATGACTAAAAAAATACATGATGGTATGCTGAGAATTGACTGTGAGGTGTTTTTAAACAATGTTTTATAAATAGATGGGCTATTTGCATTAGTCCTCATAATTATCTTTTTGCAAGGCTGCAATTATCTTAATTACTTGCAAAATCACTCATGTAAAGAGATGCAATCAGGTTTCAATCACAGAACTTGTATACCTCACCATAAGTTGTTGCAAAATTCATTGATTTATAAAGCAAATATTTCCTGCAATGAAATCTGTGTAGAAATTTCACATACGTCCATTGAACTTTGTCTTTGTGAACATGGTTTATGGAGATTGGAGAGCATGGCTAATTGGTTGTTCAACTCATCCTAGATGTGTGAAATCAGCAGTCTTTGTGACTTAATGCAATATCTGTTAAAACAACATCATATTCTTAGCTGCAATGTTTTAAAGAGAGTCTATGTTGAATTGGTAAAGGATTGAAAAATCGTAACTCAAGAATCGTAGTGTGGATTGTAAGATCCTACTACAAGTTACAATCCGTTCTACGGGTAGAAAAATATATTTAGATATGTATAATTTATATGCACATGCTCAAAAATCATCATATATGAAGAAAACAACTTCTAAATCATAACATTAAATTAAGTTTATAATCATAAATTTATAAGTTCACAACCATACATTCATACCCGGAACACAACCATAAATTCATAACCAAAACATAATCTTAAAACCGAATTCAAAATGAAAACAATCTAAAAACAACCATTCTAGACTTTCAAGATATCATCCAATCTAGTATAAGCATAGTCATCTTCATCTTATTCTCTTCTTATTCTTCATCAATGGGATCATCATTAATAGGTCTAAGGGGAACATTCAAATCATCACCAACACCAGTGACATCTTTTCCAACATTAAGTACGACGACTTCGTGTATATGTTCATTCTAGGTTGTTAATCTCGGATAGTGGCACGTAGCGCCGGATCCCCAAAATGCTATAATGACATAGTGGATAGCAGGATGACTGCTATTGCGAACGTATGCTAACGGATGAGAATGGCTGAGAACGACAAAGAAATAGATGAAAGGCGGAGAATAGTGAAGGACAATGGTGATTTGCGAAGAACAGTGAAGATTGGTGAAGTAGACTGTAAAACGACCCAACACAATGGAACTTAATGAAGCCAACACCTATGAGCTTTAACATTAGGTTAACAGAAGGTCGAAAAGACCAATATATTCTTAAAAAGTATTTGGATTTATGAAATGGTCACCAATTTCAGAATAGCGGCCAGCAAGCCGCTACGGCATTGCTATTGCGTTGCGATTGTGCCTCTATGACACTGCTATTTGCGGCCGCTATGACCGCTACTGTCTATAGCACTTTGCATGCCAATAGCGTTGCGGTGATGGGCAGTGCCGCCACGCTACATCACTATAGTGCGCTATTGACTACATAGCATTCATTATCATCCCTATTCTCTTTCCATTTCATCTTCATAATGAATTTCTTCATAAAAAAATGTCAGATAATTTTCCCAACTTCCTTCTTTTTGCCCAACTTTGAATTATTCATTATATAGATTACAACATTCATGTTTTTTATGCTTTAATGTATTCTTTTTTTTGTGGACCTAAACAAAATAAAAGTAAATTAAAATTAAAAGCAATATATTCGAGACTATTAAAAGTATACTTGATATCTTACTTACCTTTTCCAAGACACTCCAATTCTTTTCACAACCGGATTAAACTCAACACTCTCATTGCAAAATTGCAGTGTGAGTACCAAGTTTAACTTGTAGTTTATTTGGTTGTGAAAGGAATTCGAGTGTCTTTGAAAATGTAAATAAGTTTTTAAGTATTTGTTAGACTCTTCAGTTTTGTAATTGTTTTTAAATTATTATGAGTTAGTGGGTAATTATTAGAATTATTATAATATTAATTCAGAGTGTTTAGGCCTAGAATAAATAGGAGAAGACATTGGGGAGTTGATTATCTTGGAATTGAATAGGAAAAGGGGCCATTTTGGCATTGGGAGGTGCAGACCCTCGAAGTTCTGCGGTATTATTCTGTAAATCAAAGAGATTTTCCCTATTTTTTTTTTATATATCAATTGGTTTCTATCAACGGGTATCAGAGCCGTTCTGATCCAAAAAGATTTTGCCGGTGTGTTGGAAATTTTGGTATGAATATGGCTGCAGATTTGATTCCAAGATTTGATGGAAGGGAGGCCTATTGGTGGCTGATCCAGGCTGAGCAATATATTGGGTCAAGAAGAATGAGTGAAGAGATGAAGCTTGAGTGGGCTGTTGCATTTGCATTGAGAGGAGATGCTCTTGATTGGTGGATTTCTTGTAAGGAGAGTCATCCAAATACTTGTTGGTGGAATTTTGTAAAGGCCATTCTCAAGAAATTCCAACCAGAAGTTTGGGATTGTCTACTGGAGTCTGAAAATGAAACATGGGAAATCCAAGGCAGCAGTGAAATTCAAGAACCAATAGCATTACCAACTGAAGAAAAGATTGGTGGTAAAGTTGATGACTCACAAGTCCAACAATATAGTGAAAAAGAAGTTTATAAAGCGGATATCAAATCTGATTGCGAGAGCGACAAAGTGAAAAATACAGATTCATTGATGGCCGCTAGTGAAGCAAAGGTCCAGAGAAGTGACAGAGAGTTGGTTATTTCATCACATGCAAAGTCTAACAAGAAATTTCCTAAGATAAAGTCTAGGAACAAGAAATTTCCACTACCGGTGCCACTGTTGCCACAACAAGTGGTCACGAAAGGACTACCATTAGCAAGCAAATTTGATTCTGGGGGAAATTTCTTATTTCATGTACACCTCAACCTTTATGTTTCAAGTTAGACTCTTCAATTTTATAACTGTTTTAAAATTATTATGAGTTAGTGGGTAATTATTAGAATTATTATAATATTAATTTAGAGTGTTTAGGCCTAGAATAAATAGGGGAAGACATTGGGGAGTTGATCATCTTGGAATTGGATAGGAAAAGGGGCCATTTTGACATTGGGAGGTGCAGATCCTCGAAGTTTTGTGGTATTATTCGGTAAATCAAAAGGATTTTCCCTATTTTCTTTTATATATCAGTATTCAACTTTAAATAATCTCGAATATATTGTTTTAACTATTAATCTATTTAGGTCCACACTAAAAAAAAAGAATGGTTTAAAGCCAAAAATCATGAATGATGTAGTCTATGTGATGATGAATGGAGCTAGGAAATCATCATACACTTTTTATGAAGATGAATGGCAAGAAAATAGAGATTGTAATGATCATATGCACGAAGACATCGAATCCCCCAATGTTAAAGAAGATGTCACTAGTGTTGGTGATGATTTGGATGCTCTAGTCCTATTAATGATGAAGAATTATTAGAGAAGGAAGTTGAGGATGACTATGCTTATATGAGATTGGATGGCATCTTGACAGTCTAGAATTGTTATTTTTAGACTATTTTGATTTTGAACTCAGTTTCTATGGTTATGTTTTGGGTATGAACTTATTTTAATGTTGTCATTTAGAAGTTTTTTTTTTCTTTCTTAAATGATTATTTTTGGACATGTAATTATACATATATATTTTGACCAGTATTAGGATCTTATGACACTCTGATTTTTAAAACAGTGGGAATCTATAGCAGATATAGTTTCTATTAAAATTTTCCAATACTGCTACTTTCATATTTGTTCTGACTTTGGTGGCATGTGTCATTTGGGTTTGGCATTTCCTAGTTTAGGCAGCTAGTTGTCAACACTGTTCTTTGATGTATGATTATAAAAGTGATGCAGTTTAGGGTCCTTTAGATATGATTCTTTGTAACGTTATAACACTTCATTCTAGGCAATACTACATAAAACTAAAAATACAGATCTATTATCAGTATGAGATTGAGTACAAAGATCAAAATGATTTAAAGCATGTAGGTGATACACATTTAACAAAATAAAATCGCACAAGAAAAATAGTTCATCCGTTTTACAAAATATAGAAACTTTGAATAATTCAAGAATATCCTCGCAGTAATGTGAGCACTGAGTTGATTTCAGAAGTTCTAACTTTCATTTGATTTGAAATGATCAAACATCCTTGAGTATTGCAAAAACTGAATTTTACTTGTTTTTGTGAAATGGTCAAGGTAGAGTTATCCCTCCTTTATTACATATATTTTCTTGATGTTGATTTACTAATGCACTCTAACTGCGCAGGTGTTGAACTTAGAAACTATGGATAAGTCTCGGCACTGGATGATAGTTGGCTGTAGTGCATACACCGGTGAGGGTTTGCTTGAGGGATTTGATTGGCTGGTCCAGGACATAGCATCTAGGATCTACGTGCTCGACTAATTATGGTCATGTCAATATCTTTGAAAGGGTTCAAAGTTCAAACTTAGAATTTAAGAGCATTCTTAATCTACAATGCTATCATCGGAAGACATTGTTATGCATCTCTAAGATGTTTCGCATGGAATTTTTCCTTTTCTATTAACATTTAATCTAGTCAGTGTATAGAGCTTGTCTATTGCAAGGTTTTTGTACGACTTTACAGTGAGCTCTTTATAGATTAATTTCTATTTTGAATTGATGTTTTGAAGTATGGTTCGTTGTGATATAGGATGATTGTGTAAACAGACTCAACTAACATTTAGCTATCTATAGCTTCAACTAACATTGAAATAGATTGTAACTAACGCCAAAATTGAATCTATGCCAGCTCAACATCTAGCCTAATTAATCTAAATGCTTCTATTTCCTAGCTAGTTTTAGAGTTCTGTATGAGAGAATGATCCTTTTTAGATTTTGAAACACTAATTCAGTACATTCAAAATAGAATTCAACTTAATACGGGTTCATAGAGTCCTTTCAAAGTTTCTCACTATGAAAACTCTAAATTTAGCAATGTCATGTTTGCCATAATTAGGACATTGATGCAATCACAGGTTCAAACGTGACTGTGTCTCAAATTTTTCTTGAATTCAAATTTCACCAGTTCAATGGAAGTACTTCTTAGAGAGGTTCTCATATTACTAGGTAGGGCTGACAAAACGGATCCGGTTTGTTGGGCATGTCTGTCTTATTCACACTTTAGTACTAAGCGGGTCAAAGGTTTAGACTTGCATCTCTAACGTGTTCGCTCCACTCTGTCTCGGGCTTTTGTGGGTGTTGAAATTAACATAAATTTTGTATTTTTAAACATAAAATGTGCAGTGTTCGAGGGTCCGCCTTGCTCTGCCCTCACTTTTAGTGTGGGGTGGGCCAAAGTTTAAGTCTGCACCTTTAAGTATGACGGTCCCGCTCCACCTCATTTTTTTAGGTTTTTGTTGGATAGGTCTAAATGGGGTGAACATGTATGTTTGCTATCCCTATCCTTAGGTATGTTATGTCGAGGTCTTATGCCATGACTCTATGATATATGGAGAAAAAATGGTGGCTATCAATGAAGCCAATGAAGTCTGTTTTTGATAAATAATTTTGGATAATCTCTCTTATGCGAGGCAGGTGAGACCCCAAATACAATGAGAATCAGATGTTACTTGCTTGCTTCTATTATAGTGTTCTCTGGTTAAGTCATGATCATTTCCCTTAATTGGGAGCTCTTTTATACCCCTATCTCATCTCTTGGAGCCATTTAAGAATTGTTCCTTCGAGTCTCATAATTAAATGATTATAGTAATGTCCGCCGTTACACCGAGCTTTCAACTCGGACATCTGATCTCAGTGTAAACACCGTTCATGAACATGTTCCTGAGGACCATATGTCTGATTCTAAACATTGACCTGAAATCTTCTTCATTTTTGATACATAAGCAACAACTCAACTCTTGTTACTTTAGGAATGCTCGGCACATCTGATTCCTCCTTCTTTGTTCTAGTGAGCTATAACTCGGTTCTGAGAATTTCAGGACATACAAAGTCTTTTTTTTCCACGCTGATTTTGTCTTGTTAAATCACATGCCACAAATGAAGACTTTCTCAACGGAAATCTTGGTTTTTATGGTCTCTATCTATTTACTGTTTTCAAGTGAAGGGCAATGCTGTTTAGCTCTAATCAATCTTCTCTTTGGAATGTTAGGTTAAATCATCATAACATTGATGTTTAAAAGCATGTTTTAAAACTCTATAATATTCCATTCACTGTGATTGTTTGATTTTTTTTCTCTTGTTTGCGCAAAACTCACATATTTCCCCCTCACTTATCTACTACTACCTACTCTGCTCCCCTCGAGTTAGTACATGGAGAGACCTTTGGAGACCAACTCCATAGTCTCCAATAATGGTTTCTCTTACTTGCTACACGTCTTCAATCCATTTACTTGCCTAATTGAATGTGTTACTTGAAAAAGATGTATACATGACTCAAACCCCAGCTATTGAGCACTCCGACAAATCTTTGATAGTAAGAAAATTTCACAAGGCATTCTTTGATAGGCTTACTAGGACTCTTCAGTTTGGTTTCTTAGCAAGTAAGTGCTATTTTTATTTGTACATCACAAGAACAATAATACTCTTGTATACATGTTGGTATATGTTGTTGATGTCATCATCAATGGTAGCAAATGTAACTTCAGTCAGCAAGTAGTTACCAAATTGAACTCAGTACTCTCTCTCAAAGAAGTTGGAGACTCGGATTATTTGTTAAGCGTTAAAGTCAAATCTCGAGATAATGGATCTCTTCTATCTCAAGGAAAGCATCTAAGGAAAGCATACAAGTACAAGCTTTTGTTGACTCGTGATAAAACAAAATACAGCAAGGTCTCAAGGATTCTAGTTTGTAATACAAATAAATGCAAATAGAAACATTTGGATATCACTGAGGTAGTATTGCAGTCGGCCAAACATGGTATCTATCGGAATATAATTGTACAACTGCAGCAGTTATAGAGCTTCCTTTATGAGTTTCTCTGTAAGAGCTTTGGAAAGTCCCATCACGGAATCAGCTGATCCGACCTATCACAAGGATCACAGAGCTCATTTGTTAAGAGAAACCAGAGGAAAAAGAGAAGAATCCACACTTACCATGAAATAAACACTAGAAAATTAACTCAATTGACATAGATGTCTGAGAAATGAGTGAGTTAGTTTTCTTGAGAAAGGCAACTAACCACCGCATCCACAAAGGGTAACGTCAATGGATATTCCAGCATCAAACCCCCGGCAACGTTGAATGTTATTCCGTCATCAATCTGAGAAGCTCCCATCAAATAAGAAAACTCATATAGTATTGGGTTTGACAAGAATTTCCTGAAAGAAAATTTCAAAAGATCAAATGTTTTGAGAAACTGGTTAAAGTACTCTTTTCACCTCCATACTTAGCTCAGTTCAAGGGTGAAAAGTGTACTTCTAAAAACATTTACCAGATTATCAATGACCTCGTCTGGTATTTCAAGGAAATAAACCTGTCATGTAGAGAAAATTTTACAAATGTCAGTCAAATTATCGGGTGAAGTCTGAAGAGAAATGTTGAGTTACCGAATAAAATGTGTATCGATGAAAATAACCAGTGTCACTTTTTCCAGTAGCAGAAACTTGTACCTCTGCACTCTCCCACCCCCCATAACGTTTTCCGGTCACAAGATTAGTCACCACAACAGATCCTACCACAGCTGCATGACTACCGGAATATCCTGCAAAATCATTCACATTTGTGAATGTGACTGATATCTGGATACAATTACCAACAATAAAAGGAGGGGACAAAATATATACAAACCTTTGATGAACTCCCGTGCTTCTTTTTCACTAGTTGGTTTTTCCCGGATTGTTCCTCGATATACCACAACCTGCAAAGCATTTAATTGTAGCCAACATAAACATACATAAATAGAGTAACCGATAGTATCTGTAAAAAGGAAAACCAAAGTCAAGCCTTTCTTCTTTAGTATATGCAAAAAAATTGTCTGTCATTTATTTTCAACGATGCACTGTGGAAAATTGAAACAAACAAACAAAGAGTGAAAGAAGAATACATACGGTGTCTGCGGTGATTAACAGTGTTGTAGAAGCATCTGCCTCCAATGAACCATCAGTAAGGAGCCTTTGCACAATAGCATCAGCCTAAACAAGTATATCAAAGTCAGATCACTAAATATACTTTTTGGAACAATCAACGCATGAATAGGATTTCAAATTGTTAACAGCCTCTCTATTTTATGTTATATTTTTGTTCCAGACCGGCCAAAGGCCCATAACAGAAAGACACAATCATCAAACCAAAGTCATAAGGTGTTGGAGATGCAGTGCACCCGCGACCTCTAGGCAGTAGTCGATCCACGCCACTGATCATCCTTCGCCGTTCGATGCCATCAAGATTCCACACAAAATATGACGTACATTCTAATCATAATTTATTTCCACACTACCTTTCACTCTGGAATTGACTTGAGCGTTGGAGTTCTAACCAGGTCAACCCTCTTTCTACCGTGCCGCCGTATAAGACACCATTACTCATTTCTAGTTCCACCACGGAACAATTTTACTACAGATATAATATAGAGACTCCAATGAAGACTAATTTGTAATTAAAATGCAACAAGGATTCACATTCACAATTCATAAACTCAAAAAAAAGAAAGCATACCTTAGCCTCAGCTAATGTGACAACCAAATCTTCTGGTTTTTCCCTTCTAATACTTTTCTCATCAATGTCTGCAGTCTAATAATACAAACCAATCTAAACAATTTCAATCTTTCATAATACAAGTAAATTAGAATATTAACATACAAGTTTTACACAATAAATAACACACCATTATTGTGAATTCATATCCCATTTCAGCAAGAATCTGTTCGCGAGCTTTTGAAGAAGATCCCAGAATTATCTGTTGCAACAAGATAATAATAACAACAAATTCATAGATTAATTAATTTATGCTCATGAAGCTTTAATTACACGAGAATAATGGAGAGAAAAAGAAGGTGCAAAGGGAAATGAAGCAAACCTTGAAGGAAGGGTTCTTCGTAGCCATTTCTGATAGTCAGTGAATGCGTGGTTTGTAAGCTCTTGCTTGCAGTTGACAACTGCTTCCTGAAGATCAGGAGCTGGAGGCTACAATAAATAACAACCAAGGATAACAAACTCCCTCGGCCTTTAGTATTAAAACAAAATAAATATATTAAAAAAAAGTAACAGTTGTTGTTTTTTTAAATACTAAATAAAAACCAAAACTCCATGTGATGTGATCGATATTTGTATATTAATCTTGTAGGTAGGTGTTTTAGAATACCTCTCATTCATATAAAATAATTCATATATTTATTATTAGAGTATAAGAGTAAACCTAGCTAGTCTAACTAAATTTGTGTTGAGTAAACACGGTTAGGATTAGGGATTGGGATTAGGTGTATTTAGAGTGGGAAAGACACCGTGCCTTTGGGCCAATCAAATTATTTTGATGAATCGGTTCAGAAAAAGCCACACGTCCATTTGTTTTTTTTGTGTAAAATACAAAATAGAAAATCCAAAAATAAAAACACATAAGCCACAATTTTCACCAAGCTCTACTTGCAGTACCTCGAGCCTTGCTTCCATGTAACTGCATCGGCAGCCATACCTTCCCGTCTATGCAGCAACTCCTCTTAGCAGTCTGTCAATAATCTTTTCTTTTTTATTTTCTCCATGATTTCAATGTATATATATTGCATTATTATTATATTAGATTTATGGATCAAAGTTGAACATGAAAATGGAATAAAACCCTGTGTTTAGATGGAATAATTATTTGAGGATTATTCAAAACATAAACATGAAAGATTGAATTAAAAAATTGTTTGACCTTGTTTTCTATTTGCTTGTAAACTTGGTTCTGTGGGTCTTGAGTGTTGCCCCCGACATACAAGTGGTCGGAGGTATGCAATGGTGAACAATATCAGTGTCTTTATTGTTATGTGTATAATTTTTTTTTTATTCTAAAAGTGTGATTTGTTATAAATCGTTTGATTCATCAGATTGATTTGATTGGTCCAAAGGCATAGTGCCTTTTCCACTTTAAAGGCACTGAATCCCAATCCTTAGGATTAGATATAAATATCTAATTGTTTCTCTTTATAATTAACTTTACAAAATTGAAATGGAATATAATTAGATCATATTAACTTTTTTCTTTCTTTTTTATGCATTCCTCTAATTTTTAATATGATATCAGAGCTTGATTTGATTTTGATTCCATAGCTATCGATGCTAATTCAAGCAATATTGCAAACATCACTGTGCGAGAAACTTCATCTACCCTAACTCTCAACTCGAAGAATGTGTTCAAAATATTCACGTAGCAAGTAACACTCAAACTTCATGGAAAATTCATGTTCGTGGAAGCAGCAAATCAAAAGGATAATTTGCACGCACGAGTTTCAACGTCATTTGGTGAGTCATATTATTCCTCCACTTTTTCTCAATAAAGTGAATCACATGCATGACACTAAAAACCTTGTGTGCATGACATGGGGGCAGTAAATTCACTCATTTTGACGTGGCTGCTTATAACACTCTCTACCATATGTGATTTGTTACGTCTATTCTCGTCAGATTTGAGATGAAACTCATAAATATATTTGTGCACATATTAATGTGAAGTTGAGATAATTACAGTAAGAATTGAAGTCAATCACAAAATGTGAGAAGTCTATCTTTGAATACCCAGGTAGGATTTAGAGGATTGTAAATATTTTGGATTCGATAAATCTGATCTCGCATTATGATCAACTTGAAGTAACCCTGGATGGATTACCTGAAGATTACAATGCCCTAATTTTTACCATTCACTATCGCCCTATCATATGTCTTATCGTTGAGGCTAGATCAATGTTCCTCTCTCATGAAGCAAAGTTGGACAAGTCTAACAACGCCACTCTATATGAACCTTTGTCAATCAATATCGCTCAGGCCAATCCTCTCACTCCTCAGTCCATAAATCCAGGTAGCTTTTACTCCTTCAATGTGCCTTAGTTTTATCATGTGATGAATTATAGTGAATCATAAGGTGGCTTTCGTGGTAGCCATAAATTTCACCAAGGCAGATAGGTTTGTGTAGCAGATTCAAAGTTCAGTGCCAAATATGCTTTAAATCTAAAAATTTATTCCTGAAGGGACAAATGTTGGACACAGTGTTGGAACAACTGGTCCAATTTCTTAAACAAGTAATACAACAGAATAATAGTAACAATAACACAATAGAGAAAGCTATAAAATAACGTAAGAGATTGGTAACCTAGTTTGGTGAAAGCACATCTACATTTTGAGGGTACTATATCCAAGAAAGGAAATTCACTACTTCGAATTAGTATAATTAGTCTTCCATAAACACCAACCCTGTGATGTTCAATGTCTCTTCCTAATTCTAGTGATTTTCTATTTAAGACTCCCTTTAAATTGGAGAACCTCTCTCACTTTCTCTCAATCACTAACCTCATAATTATCAACTTCAATAACAACTCTATTGCTTGTTGAATTTATAACTCAACTAAGATAAACCAACAACCATGTCAAGTTACTGAAACATTGAGTGGTGTACAACAAATAGATTTAATATTAATCCTTATGATGCCAATGGTGTGGAATACAAGAAACAAAAGACTCATAAACCCTAGGCACTACGATCTTAATCTTGCAAACAAAACCCATACTTAAACATGAGAATTGGATCTTCTTATATAGCAATGTCTTCTGAGATTTTTCTTCTTGGATATGTGTCCAGAATAATAGAAGATATTGTTGGATTTGATTTGGTCCATAAAATTATGCTTAATTGAATATCATGTCTTTTGAGATATAAATTCTACCATCTAAATTCGTGCACTTA